GGCCCCGGCCCCAGGGTGGGGGTGGGGATGGGGATGGGGATGGGGTTGCCGGGGAGGACGAGGGAGCCCTTTGCTCGAAGCGGTGTCTCGTACCTACAATGACCGGTCTATGGAGAGGCCCTTCGGGCACAGAATCATAGGCCGGGGACACCATATTTCTGCTTTCTGTGCTAGAGGCCCCCAGGGAAAGGGGCCCTGCTCTGCGGCGTCGGCGTTGCAGAGGCCCTGGCGCTGTGAGCCGCGGAGTGCTAGAGGCATCCAAAGGGATCACTGCCCTAAGCTGGGGGAGCAGGAGACGCCTCTGTTTTGACATACGGTATTGGTGTGTCTGACAACTCGCAGCTCTCTGGGTAGCACTGTAAAGTAACTGAGTTTAGCGGTGTTCAACAGCTGCAGACGTGCAGTTTCAGTAACAAGTGCCACTGTGCAGGTATTAACAGTTAGGATGTAAAAATCAGAGGCAAAAGCAGAAAATTAGATTATTTCAGGTGGGACAGCTAAACAATGAAATTGTACTAGCGCCTAGAATTTAAGCTACAATACCTGTGTGGGACCTTGAATCACCTAACAACAACAGAGATACATTTGGTTTTGGAAGAAAATGAGGTGCAAATGACCTTCTGTTTTGTGGCAGTAACTTAAAAATTGTTGTATTGATTTTTTTTTTTTGTATACATTCAGACAGTCAAGATAATTGTGGCTTTAAAAGGAGGCATCTGTATGGGTTAAAGCAGAATGCAAGTGGGTTTAGTTTACCAAGAGTCTCTAAGTCTTAGTACAGTGGAAACCTGTTTTATTATGTTTGCACAAAATCCTAGCATATTCATGACTTCAGTGGGAGTAAGCTATTCAAGGGTAAGTAAAGGAACAGTAGCTAGATATAACCTTAGGAAAAAAAATTACTGATTTTTCTTTTTGTTTTGTTTAGTTCTTGAATTTGAACACGTTTATCTTGAAAATCTACCATGTGCTTCAATGTATGAACGCAGTTACATGCACAGAGATGTCATTACACATGTAGCATGTACTAAGTAAGTGTCTTTTTTTTTTCTACTGTATCTCATTGTCAGAGATGTATTTTTGCATATGCCAAGAAGTTTTCATTGTAAAAGTTCAATAATGGCAAGTTACTGTGTCCAGAGGTGGTATTGTAAAGGTTTTTTAAAAAACTTAAGTGCAAAGGAAAGGGCTTACTAAGAAGCAAGATAAAAATTGTTTAAGTAGACTAAAAGAGGGTTTTAAAATCCTTATTGCAGTGTGAAGCATTTACAGGAATAAGAGCAACTGACTGCATCTGAACAAAATATGATTCAGCAGAACTGCATAGATTGAGATGTTTGCTTTTCTGGGAGTGATAGTACCTGTTCACATTGTTGCAGTAGTTTGTTTAAAGTTCATTCTCTACACAGTGTTAATTATAGTGCAAATTGCTGCCCCAGAGTGGCGTGAAAGTGCATAATATGTGTTTTGTTTTGTTTCTTTTATAATTGTAGGACAGATTTTATCATAACAGCCAGTCATGATGGACATGTAAAATTCTGGAAAAAAATAGAAGAAGGGATTGAGTTTGTTAAACACTTCCGGAGTCACCTGGGTGAGAAGTTGCGTTGTCTTCCCTAAAAGACCTCACTTTTTCTTCCCCCTTGCTCTTAGTGGCTTGAAGAGGGAGTGCAACTAAAGAGGAGAGAGGTTCTGGGTTTCATTTACTACAGTCAGGGATTAAATGATATGTGCCTGTCTTCCTTGATTCCCCCATCTTGTTACATTTTGCTCCCAAACTGCGGGAGGGATAGGGTGAGAATAAAACATGTGGGACTCCTCCTGCACAGATCCCCTATATCCTTTGCATTACCTTATGCCTCACCTGTAGGGAGAATGTCTAGGACATGAAGAAGCAGTTTATGTGAAAATAAGTGAACAAGGTACATAACAGGGATCATAAAATCCAGAGAAGTTTAAAAAGATGTTACTTTAGTAAGGCTACTTTCATCCTTTATCTTTCAATTGTAGATTAAATTCTGCATTGTCATGATTATCAGCTGAAGTAAGCAATTAAGAATTAGTAATTTTAACTCAATTTTCTGAGGTAATCAGTACACATAACTCTTCCGTAGTATGTTAAGCATTAAATAGGCATGGACAGAAAATTGGGTTCTCATTGCTATTAGAAATGATGATATGCCTGATGGAAAAAAACTGATATGCATACTGTTACAATAAGAAAAATATTTAATAATAGATAGTAAAAGTACTGTTTCTTTTTAGAGTTAGAAAAAAATGTTACAGCTTCTCATTATATACAGAAACAAAATGTGAGAACAAAGCAAAAGTAAGTATTGTGAAAAACTTATGGAGGGCTCAGTTGCAGATTATTCTTGAGTATTATGTGTGTTAATAGCAATACTGTAGAGTTCTTGTGCTTTTTCCTCTTTTCAGAGATGCAAGCTGAAGAACACATTTTTTTTTACCATATCATAATATTGTTCTGAATTTTTTTAAGTGAACATTTTAAATGAAAATAATTGCCTTTGTAGTCTTTCATTTATATACATGGTAAGTAGTTCATTATCATGTCCCTGATTCTAAACAGTGATAGGATACAAAGTGTTGGTTTGTGGTTTTGTTTTTTTTTTTTTTTAATAAAGTCAGGTAGTTTTTTAAGTCAAAAAGGTGAAGAAACAGCTGAGAAACACGTTTAAACCTCTGTAGGGTTTTTTCCTGTGAAATATTGAAATGAAGGATGTCCCTTTCTTGTGTCTTAATAGTAAGTTAACTTTTTTAATAGGTGTTATTGAGAGTATTGCTGTTAGTTCGGAGGGGGCGTTATTCTGTTCAGTTGGAGATGACAAAGCAATGAAGGTGTTTGATGTAGTCAACTTTGATATGATCAACATGCTGAAACTTGGGTAAGTTACTTAGTTCTTAAAAATATTTGTTTGGGGTTATAAATGGGAGTTACTTTGCTAGGAGGCCAGTCAATAATTTGAGGTTTTTGAGGTCTTTCTCCCCCAGATGAGATGAAGCTTAGCAAGTTGCATTATCCTAAATGGATCCAGTGGATGGAGACTGCGTGTCTGAATAGAAAACTTTGTGTCTCTGTATGCAGTAGTACATGAGCGGAGTATGTCTGTGCCTTTCCTCAGTGTCAAATATTACGCACAAAGGTGTTGTGTTTCTCAAAATATGTAGCTAGGCATATTTTTTTTCTGTTACTTGGCACTGAATTTAAAAATTATAGCCAACTAATAGTTCCAGTAGAGAAGGAGCTTGGACAATTTATTTGTTGTCATAGGGATAGAAGTTTCCTTCTTCTGTTAGAAAAAATAGTTCTTGTTCTCCTTAGTCTTGCTGTTGTAGGATTTTTGTAGTTATGCAGTATGTAGCTAAAGAATCTGGGAGAAATAGGAACGTATGTTATTGGAATTATAACAATGTCAGAGGAAAACAGCCCCACACTGTCAAAAGGGTAGGTCTGGAAGGTTGGAGGATCAATGAATGTACCAGGAATGGTGGAAATACTGATGTTTCCACAAGCCTTTTAAAATTGGAAAACTTAGTCCTCCTAGTCTACTATTTGTTGGTTAATTGTGAAACTCAAAAGAAGTATAAACTAAAAAAAAAGCTTTTCAGAATGCCTATATAAAACCTTATGTTACCTGCTTTGCTGATTGTAGTTTTAGTATCATCCTCCAGGTAATGTACTCAGCCTATAGGAATTGATTCCCTATTGGCTGTCTGCTGTGGAAAAATTCTAGTTAGCCGTAGTCTTTTAGTTTTGCTGGTCTTTTCTACCTAGCAACTCTGTATTGTCACTACAAAATTCTTGAAATTATAGGATGATAGAAAATGAATTTAATATTAAGCAAAACTTAATTTGATGTTACAATGAAAGGTGTTTTTTTCCTCTTTGAGAATTCAGGGAAAACTGAGGTAGAATTTAAATCAATTTTGCTTCAGGGACAGCCTGAGAATGCTACCTATAACATTTTTCTGTAGTATGTTCCCTGATTTATCTTTAAATAGATTTTTTTTTTTTCTCAACCTCAGTAATCAAGATCCATATATTTTTTTTCAGAGAATTGGGTTTTACCTGAAGTGAACTATTTAATGAAGAACAGACCAGTATACAGCTATAATATAAGCATTGTCCTGAACAGCCTTTTAAAATTTACTGTTTGTTGCTCTATCTTCTGCATTACTGTTTACTGAGCAGATAGTTTCTGTTGGCCTGAGAATTTTTCCATGGCTATGTGCTCAGGCTTGCAGTGGTTAGTGTAGAATCCTAAGTTCTGTGTGGTCTTTTCAGCTCACATTATCTTGCGTTGCCTGGTTTGGTAGGTATATGGTGGTATATTGTGGGGTTGATTAGCTTTGTCTCAAATTCTTCGGATCCTTTTGGTTCTATCTATACAATGTGGCTATCTGCAAATTCCCATGCTTTATGCTTAAACCAGTGATATGGAGAAGGGCAGCTGTTCCTGCAGAAACTTTGGGTAATGATGCATAGATCAATGCAACGTTCTATTTATTTATTTATATATTTATTTGAACCTATTCTTTCTAGTGAACCTGAGACAGAGTTCTGGTTATGTTTCTCTTTATGACAATCTTTACTAGACAGCCATTGAAAATCCAAATTATTAGTGTCTGTCATTTGTCAGTCCTTCAGTAGCTGTTAGTTTGATTTGTGAAAAGATTCTAAGTACAAGTTTCCTATGGAGACTCTGTCATTTCTTTGTGGTCTGTTGTTTAGTTTCTCAGTTCTGGTTCTCAAAATCTTTGCTTACGGACCTTTTTAAAAACAGACATATTATTGACCATATCTCTGGCTTGTTTTATTTGTAGAGTATGTTTTTGCTAGTAGCAAATGAGTTCCTTCTTAAATGCATTCAGAATGCTTATTGAATATAGGGTGACTGTCTTAATTTTACTTATATCACTTTTTGGTTTTGTTTTTCTTTTCTTTTTGGCAAGACCTAGTTGAACTTTTCTGTGAGCATATGGCAAAGGTGCCATTTTCATTTCCGCTGAAGCATTAATCACTTAAGAGATGAAAGAGAAATGCTACTGAGTCATAGAAGTTCAGTAGTAATCATTAATGCCACTTGTGCTATTTAGCTGGATTTCCAGCCTTATTCTTCTTTTTTACACCCCTTCTACCTTTGCTTTATGTCACAGCCTCTTTATAAAATGGTATGGGAACAACAGACATTGGCCGAGCCATCCACTGAATTGTGTTGCTTGGAAAAGCTTAGTTATAGCACTGTTGAATTTTAGCAAGAGAAATATTAGCAAGACTTGTAAATAAAGTTCAAAATGTGCTTCTGATACTTGATTTCAGGTTTATAGCACAACTTGATTCTTATCTAAGTAACACCAGTGCTTCTTTCTTTTATTTTCTCTCCTTCCACTCTTTGTTGCAGCTACTACCCTGGCCAGTGTGAGTGGGTATATTGCCCTGGAGATGCCATATCTTCTGTTGCAACATCTGAGAAGAGCACAGGAAAAATATTCATATATGATGGACGAGGAAATAACCAGCCACTTCATGTTTTTGATAAACTCCATACATCCTCTCTTACTCAGATACGGTTGAACCCTGTCTACAAAGTAGTGGTATCTTCTGATAAATCTGGAATGATCGAGTATTGGACTGGTACTTCTCACGAATATAAATTTCCCAAGAATGTGAACTGGGAGTATAAAACAGACACTGATCTATACGAATTTGCTAAATGCAAGGCTTATCCATCCAGTATAAGTTTTTCACCTGATGGCAAGAAAATGGCCACTCTCGGGTCTGACAGAAAAGTTAGAATTTTCCGGTTTTTGACGGGGAAGCTCATGAGAGTCTTTGATGAATCTCTGAGTGTGAGTCTTGTTTCTCTTTTTTTGAGGCTTTTTCTCTACTTACTTGATTTTATTTGCCAGCACATTCACATTCTAAGTTATCATCTGCTTCTAAGGCTGAGCTTCCTTGCTGTGTTTTTCTTGCAGAAGAGGTTTTCTGTGTTCTTTTCCTTGTCTCTTGTATTGCTTTGCCCCCAAATTAATTCTTACTGATCTATATTAGTTATGTAGTGAAACTGAGTTGTTGATTTTCATCTGTGTGTCTATTCTGCTAGATTACTTTTTACTAGAAAGCAATTATGGAAAATGCCCATTTCAAATAACATAATAATGAACTAAATTTGTCATCTCCTAAGAAATTTGTTAGACAGCTACACACTTTTCTTTCTTTGCTTAAGCCTAGTACTATGACATGCCTATTGGGTCATTAAAATAGAGTATCACTTGTCTTTCTTTCAGTTCTTTGGTAAGTTTGAGTGGAGTAGTCTCACTTGAATTCTGTATTTTCTAAGCATGTGGATCAGTGTTTTGCTGGATCAAAAGTTTAAAATATGTTCATACAATAGTGATTATTTTTTTTCTTTTGTTCTGTAGATGTTTACTGAACTTCAGCAGATGAGACAGCAACTACCAGACATGGAGTTTGGCCGACGTATGGCAGTTGAGCGTGAGCTGGAGAAAGTGGATGCAGTAAGATTAATTAATATAATTTTTGATGAGACTGGACACTTCGTTCTCTATGGAACAATGTTGGGCATTAAGGTCATAAATGTAGAGACTAACAGGTAAGTTCCAATGACACGTGTTAAGGTAGATATCTTTGTTTCAAAGTCTATATTCAGTCAAATTTGTTGTCCATTTAAAACTTGATATGACTATGGGCGTCTCTGATCTTTTTTTGTTGTTATTTGGGAGCTTTACGTTAGACTGTAGATAAGATACTCCCATGTTTTGTAATGAGTCATTTAAAGCTTAGTAAAACGAGGAGAAAACATGGCAAGGATATTTGTACTAAAAATGTGTTATTTATTAGTCTCCGACTAACTAGTTGTGATAACATAAAGGAAATGTGGATCATGCAGTTGTGATTTTATTACATAAGAAGGCTGACTTAATAAATTACCTAGCAAGTTTGAGTAGAGAAGCATGATAAAAACAATTAGTAAAAAATTATTTTGAGAGGGTTTTGGAATTTTGCTTTAAGTCTTGCAGTCAGAAAGGAGATATTCTCTGACTGTGAAGAGCTAACAGTAGTTACACCTTTTTACGTCTTGTACTTCAGGTGTATTCGTATCTTGGGAAAGCAAGAGAACATCAGAATGATGCAACTAGCTTTGTTCCAAGGAGTAGCAAAGAAACATCGTGCTGCAATCACTATAGAGATGAAGGCATCTGAAAATCCAGTTCTCCAGAATATCCAGGCAGATCCGACAGTAATCTGCACAGCTTTTAAAAAAAATAGGTTTTACATGGTGTGTGTGGTTTCTATTTAAGTAACTCCATTCTTGTATTGATGTTTTCTCTGCATTATTTTTCCTTTTTCTCCTTGCACCTTTCTAGTGCTTTTTGTCTTGAGTATTTGCAAACGCAACTTTTCCAGAGGAGTCCCTTTATATTGCAAGTATATTCCAGAATTTTTAGCTTGAACTAGCTGGAAATAGCTTTAATTATTTTGTTATTGCTCAAACAGTTAAATAAACTTGGATGGTTTGGGCTGTCTAAATTTCAGTTCTCGAAGGGTATATGCTTTTGTCCTAGTTGAAAAAAAAACAACCCTCAAATAAGAACATTTTAAAAACCTAACCAGATCTTATACTGATAAAGAAACAATAATTAACTCTACAAAATATGTAATAAAAAATAATTAAATTCAAAGCAGCATCAGGACATGGTAGCACCAAGTACATTACGGGCAATTAACTAACACAGGAGTCATCTTCCTGTTCACAATTTAGATGTTACGTAAAATGCAATGAATAAGCCAAGCAGGCAAACAATTCCAGAGTAGTTAGTAGTTGATCTGGGATGTGATCACCATAGAGGTTAGAGATCGGTCTGCCTGTTGTTACTTGCGCTGGAATTTGATCATGTTTTCTGTTGGAGCAAGATAGTATACTTTCTAAAGCTTTGTGTGGTTAGTGTGTAGTATGTAATGGAATACATTACTCTGAATGATTTTTCTGTTCTTTTGTTCTTCAGTTTACTAAACGTGAACCAGAAGATACGAAGAGTGCAGATTCTGACAGAGATGTATTTAATGAGAAGCCTTCTAAAGAAGAGGTCATGGCAGCCACTCAGGCAGAAGGTCCCAAAAGAGTTTCAGACAGTGCCATCATCCACACAAGCATGGGAGATATTCATATCAAACTTTTTCCTGTTGAGTACGTATTTGGTAGTTTTTTTCTGTTATTTTGTTTTTCCTTCCTTCTCTGCTTTTTGGTGGCAGTATCCAAGACTTAAATTTCAAGCTAGGAATAGTTATTTTCTTCCCCTTTCTCTACTGTCCTTGTTTCCTGACAGTTTCTTAATACATCAAGCTAGGAACGCAACTCGACAAATACAAATAAAGTAGGGTAAAACTAGGTCTAAATAAAGGTTGGGGGCACAGGTTTTTGTTTTGTTTTGTTTTTAATTATTCTTGCTTTTATTTAATTACTGGCTCAGGGGGATTATT